TTCTAGCTCTCCTGATCTGACGAACTCAAGTGATTCAGATTAAAGTCTTCTCAAGTGTTTAAGGATCAAGATACTACCTACGTTCGGTACTATCAATTGAATTCAAAACCTGCAAATCCTTCAACAAATCCGTAAAGCACAAAGCGAGGATCGAAGGAACTTTTTATACAACAAGTCCGTCAAAGCACAAAGCAAAGGACCGAAGAAAGTCATCCCAAAGTTCATGAAAAGACCATGGCTAAACTAAGTGGATTTCGTCATCAACAAGTCCGCTATGCACAAAGCTCAGGACCGATGACTTCTCTCTATCGACCTAATACAAACCTAAGGATTTTGGTCACCGACATCTACTCTATCAAGCCCGCCGAAGCTAGAAGCAAAGGGCAGAAGGAATACAAATCTTCTGACAAGTCATCAAAGACAAATCAGACAACCCTTCACCAAGTCCGCAGCACAAAGCACAGGACAGAAGGAATCAAAATCTCGGGGCTCCAGCTAAAATTGCAGAAAGAGCATCCCCGACGACATCTACAAATGTCCCTGAAGACTGGGGGCATTTTAAATATTTATTTGGGTCGACATCGCGCTGCATGCCGAGATCCCCAAATAAATATTTAAAATTTCAACAAGATATCAACCATCTATGGATATATTTGAAAGAGCAAGTGGAGAAAGAAAGTTAGTGTGACATCCAAGCAAAACTTTGGAGATCCATTAAAAGAAAGACTAGTGTGACATTCAAACAACTTTTGGAAATCCACTAAAAGAAAATCTTAGTGTGACATCCAAATGAAATTTTGGAGATCCACTAAATGAAAATCCTAGTGTGACATCTAGAACAAGATATCTAGAGATCCACAGGGTCAATCAGCATACAATAAACGTGGCTCGCTCTAGGCGCGTACCACATTTGTTGGGGGGCATTTGTTGACCTTCTCCCGTGAAAAACAAAAAAAAAGAGAAGAAAATGAAATTTCAAATCCTCACCTGCTCTGCCATTCGCACGTCGTAGCCACGACGACGCCTCGTCGCTTGCACGATCTCTGCTGCTCATGTCGCATCGCCCATGACTCTATACGACGAGCTCCTCACATCGTTAAAATGAGATCGAAGGGCTCTCGGACGCGCTCCGCTCGGCCTCGTTCCGCTCCAGCTCTCTCTCGAAAGCTCTCCCTCTCCCGACTCCACTTCCTGTAGGATCGAAAGTTACAAATTTTGATCGGAAGCAACTCGGTTTTATTACAAATGATAATTTTAATTTGGATTACTTTATTCAAATTTCTCTCTATAATTTCCTAAAGTAACTCCATCGCATGCACGTTTCACATCAAACTTACACCAAAGAATATTATAGAGGTCTGTAGTTTCTTGGATTAGTAGGATACTACAAAAGGTTTGTTAAAGGATTGTCACAGATTGTTATGCCTTTGTCCAAGCTAGTGAGGAAAGAAATAAAATTTGAATGAACAATTGAATGTGAGAAAAGCTTTCAGGCATTGAAAGGACATTTGACTACAGCACCAGTACTGACACTTCCCTCAGGAATAGAAGGATTTCAGATTTATAGTGATGCTTCTTTGAAGGGTTTGAGATGTGTTCTAATGCATAATAAAAAGGTGATTGCATATGCATCTCGACAATTAAAGCTTCATGAAAGAAATTATCCCACTCATCATTTAGAGTTGGCTGTAGGGGTATTAGCTTTGAAGATTTGGAGACATTATTTGTATGGGGTAAGATGTGAAATTTTCACTAATCGTTAGAGCTTAAAATATATATTTTTATAAAAAGAACTTAATCTGAGATAGAAGATGATTGGAATGCATAAAAGATTATGATTTGGACATTCACTATTATCTATGAAAAGCTAATAATGTGACTGATGCTTGGACTCGCAAATCTACAGAAATGATGAACTGGATGATTATTCAAGAGGTTGAATTGATCAAGGAAATGTAAAATCTATAATTGGAGGTTATATATTTGAAAAATGTGGAATATTTACATCAGATGACAGTAAAGCCCACTTTAATAGAGCGTTTCAAAGAAGCTCAATAACTCAGTAGTGAATCTTCAAAATTGATTGAGCAGGCCCAGTCCGAAAAAAGAGCAGATATTTTTGTTGATGTTGATGGAATCATTAGGCTCAAATTCCAGTTGTGAGTACCTAGCGATCTGGACTTGAGAAATGAAATTTTGCAAGAAGTTCATAATTTTGGCTACACAATTCATCCAGACAGTACTAAGATGTTTAAGACTTAAAATTTTGCTGGTCGGGTATCAAGAGAGACGTTGTTGAACATGTAGTTAAGTGTGAATTATGTCAAATTGTGAAAGCTAAACATTAGCGACCTAGTGGATTATTGCAATCATTACCTAAACCTGAGTGGAAGTAGGAAGAGTTTGCAATGGATTTTATTATGGGATTTTTCAGATCCAGACAGGGACATGACATCATTTTGGCGATTATTGATAGGCTGACAAAATCAAATCACTTTTTTCCTGTCAAGCAAACTAATTCAGTAGACAAATTGGCACGTATGTATGTGAAAGAGATTGTCAAATTGCATTGTATTTCAAAAGTTATTGTCTCAGATAGAGATGATAGATTTACTTATAGGCTGTGGAAAAGCATCATAAAAGCTTAGGCACAAATTTGCATTTCAGTACAGCTTTTTATCCTCCGACTGATGGTCAATCTGAAAGAATCATTCAAGTACTAGAAGACTTATTGAGATTATGTGTTTTGAATTTCAGAGGTAGCTGGGAAGATCATATACTATTAATAGAATTTGCCTACAACAATAGCTACCAATCTAGTATACAAATGAAACCATATGAAGCACTTTATGGTAGGAAGTGCAGAACTCCCTTAACGTGGGGGGAGGTAGGAGAAAGACAACTAATGGGTCCAAAGCTAGTTGATGAAGCAACAGAGAAAATCAGAGATAGATAAAAGCTGCTCAGGATTGCCATCATATGATTTGTTTCTAAGTGTTGAATAGATAATAAGATTGAAAGTAATGTTATACATTTCTTATGATCAACATAGAATTTTAATATGTTATACCCATGTTATTATTAATAAGTAATGTTATGAAATTATTAAGTGCTAACAATGTTATTATTGATGCTTATACATTTCTTGTATATTTTATTGAGCCAATCTTATTAGCAGTGGTTGTACTGCAGAAAGAGGAGGGAGCCCGTAAGGCATTAAAGGGGTGACTATTCTTTTTGGGTGTACAAATATATCTAAAAGAGATCTGGAGGATAGCTGTGCAGACTTTTGAGTATGCAAGTAAATTTTAAAGGTTTTAATAAAGCTTTGTATTTCCTTTGAAATGCACATTTAAATTACGATATATTATATATGCTTCCTTTTATGAACATTTTGAAGTGTTATAATAGTGAGGTTAGGATAGTTTGAATATACTACTTTTTTACTTATCTAATTATGTTATCAGTGTTCAGAATGGGGGTAAGTAAGGTGACGATCTATTTAGATTCTCCTTCTTTGTTGCACTCTAGGTTGACTGTAGGGGATTAAAATGGAGTGTGACACCCAAAAAGCCGGGGAGGTCGGGGCACGAATTTTCAGAGCTCATAGAACTCAACTCACCCCTAGTCATTATTATCATAGATTCTTGATTGCTCTAAAGGATTAATCTCTAAAGAAGTATTTAGCTAGATGTAATCACATAATACTTATCATCAAATTAATGGTGAGACACACATAAATTACACAGATAAATTATGAGTCATGAAGTAAAAAGAAGAAGATCCTCGACAGTGGAGGCGACATGTGAATTAGGGCTTGCACCAATAAGCTGGAGCAAGAAAGATTCTGATCCCAACAAAAATTTATGGGAATGGACATGGGGTTTATGTAATACCCAACCAGACCAATATATTACCGAATTGGACCAAAAAACTACTAAACAAGAAAATTGCTTCAATGGTGGCTGCTGTGTGTCCCTTCTATCTTGCTTGTGTTTGACTATAATGTTGGCATGATTTGTTTTTAAAACGTGACAAACCTATGCTGGAGGCAGATATGTGTCCAACACAAACTCAAAGGTCATTTTGAAGCACCCTTGCTTCAGGGATTGAGAATATTTATTAGTATTAGTGAAATTATGATCTTATTGCATGTGTGAATATTCATAGTTATGTTTCTCCGCAAGTGTTGGGAGACAAAGATTATTTCTTTCTCTAATTCATAGATTACCATGTTAGTGCTGCAGTCATTGCATGGGACATCATAATATATTACTTTTGGTTGGGCTTCATCACAAAAATTCTTTTTACATTTCCGTTTTTCACAATTTCTTAGGCTTATTTCCAGTGGTTGTGCATTATTCTTTTTCTCAGTGAGCGTTAAGTTATCCTGAACTTGTACTGTGATTTAACGTGATATAAGCTTCTCTCTTGTTTTCTACTTCATCAGCACTATCTAGAGACCGGAAAATGCAATTTTGGACCTGCTTGCAAATTTCATCACCCTAAAGATATTCCTGGAATCATCAAACCTGTTCAATTTAATGCCCTAGGCTATCCTCTTCGTCAGGTATTGAATTCCTGCTGATAATATTTATGTTCTTACACTTTAAAGTTTCTATTCATTTAATTCATTTCTTTATTCTATGATAGCTGATTTATCTTCTTCTATTTTTTAAGTATGAGGTGGATTGCAAATTTTATTTAAGCACTGGATGGTGCAAGTACGGCAAAACCTGTAAATTTAATCATCCTGAGCCATCTAATTCAATGCATTGGTGGCTTTCACGGACAACGCCTGGACAAACATTATTTCCTGGGGAACTGACTTCTTTCAATGCGAGCCCTCATTGGCAAGTTCCTTCAAGCTATGTGCAAGTAGTTTATCCTCAAGGATTTGCTCAAGTTCCAAGCTGGAATACATTTCCTGTAAGCATGCATGATCTTTTAGTTGTGATTGTTACTGGGATTTTTTTTTCTTTCCTTAAAGGCTTAGCATGCTTTTTGATGCTATTTATGTCCAAGATGCTATAAACGTGGTGAGCTTCTGCTAAAAAGATTTGTACAAAAAACTTTGCACATTAGTTGAACACCTAACGTGGTACTCAGTATGGATGATTGGAGAATTAGGACTCACATAGCCAATCCAAATAGTTGCAATAACGCTGATCATGATGCTTAGAAGGAAATTGTAGTTAATGGTGTAAAAAATGGTGAGATGACGGTTCTCCTAACCTTTACCAGTTTCGTTGTATTTTATAGTGATTCTTTATGCTATAAGTGTATTAGGCACCAGATAAATACTTGTAAAAATTGAGAAACTGTTTATTCAATTACCTCATAAATGGTTTTTTTATCTATAATCTATATAATCGCATATGCCTTTATAGTTATTTAATAGGTAGTTGGTGTATCATGATTTGGAACTCGCCCTTAAAAAGGGACCCACTTGGGGAACTTGCTCGGAGCTAGCCTTGCTTCATTCAATTAGGAGGTGGTACATGGCTATAGTAGTGTGTAGTATTGTACGGGTATTCTATGTAACATTATACCTTTTTTCTTATTTAGCCTTTCATGTAGCCCTCAGAAACCCTAAATAAGAGGTGATGAGGAATAAATTGGGGACTTTGTGGATTGATATAATGGACACTCTACTAGTTTTGAGACTCATAATTTATTGAGTATTCTATAGATTTCCTCTCTACTCTCTCTATTCTCTGACAGGTTTTTAGGTTACTCACTCTTAGTTTCGACATTCATTATAAGTTATTTCATTTGGCTTGATATTCTTAGTTACATAAATGTTCTTCAAGGCAACATCAATGGTGTCCAGAAAATATGAGGATAGACTTGCTCCACAAGTAAATATGTAGCTCTATAAACAGGTGTACTATCAGTAATGACCTATATGATGTTTGAAGGCCTCACCACATGATAACTTCTTTGATTAAATTTGAAATGAAGAACTTATCCTTGCACTATCCTTCACAGTTTACAACTTTGATAAACATCTTTGTTACGACCATGAAGTTGATAAGTGGTCTTCTTTGAGGATTTGTCCACCCATCACAAACCAAAGCAACTCATTTTTCCTTCCCACTCCTTTGGTTGGCTCAAGCAACTTCTCAATGTTAGCCCTTTCGCTTTTCAATAACGTAGTATTGATGGCATTATATCCTGGTGGCACGTAACCAGTGAGGTTGTTACTGGAAGAAAAAGTAAATGCATTCTTGTAATGTGGATACTAGGTTGAAAGAAAGGCCAGCTGAGTAAAATATTCTTGCTATCTCCCCATCTAATTGCTCTCTTAAAGGCCTTCTCCAAAGAGTTATCTGCAATATCTTTTTTTAGGTTTATATCCATCCATTGTGAATGATCCTTTGTTAACAGTGATATCATCAGTTTGAATTGAAGAAGAGGATGAAGGATTTGAAGGGTGGGAACTTGGAAGTGAAATCTCTTTAGGAAGTTCTCTTATACTCCTTTGCTCAGCTTCAATAACTTGCTTTTGTAATTCACCCAATTGTGATGAACTTATTTTAGGGCAAATTTTGATCTCATGCCCAACAATCTTTAACAAATGAGCTTTTACTTTATAGTACGATCATTTATATGTGGCATTACAATAATTTCATTTGAATGCAACATTGGCCCCACCTTTAGAAGTTTTTCCAAATTTTGTGACTTAACAAAGGTTTACTATCTTCATTGTTGGGCTCTAATGACCCTCACCCATCCCAATTCCACCTCCACTACAGCTTATCATCCTAAGAAAGAATAAAAGGATTGACACAAATTTTCAGTTCAAATGTTACAACTCCAAATTCAAAGCTCAAATGTTAGATAATCAACAAGTTAAGGGAAGAGTTAAAACTAAATAAGAACTTTGTGGCATGATTCCACTAATTTATATTGTTGCATGATTCTACTATACAGCTAAATTAATTAAATAATCAAAGCTCAAATTTTGTGACATAACTCCGCTTTTTTTTTTTGTAATTATATTTCTATTAATAAGAATTTAAGAAGCTTTTGAAAAAAAGAAATAAAATTTGCATGAGGAAGGATTAATGAAGAAGCTAAACAAGTAAACATACTAGCTTAAGTCGCTTGTGAATTCAATTGGTTGAACTAGCAAAATTTACATGTGAAAGCATTCAATAGCAAAGAAACTATTTGCTAATCAAAGAGTCGATTAAAAAAATGAATTTTTCTCATGAAAAGAACTTAAATAAGGCAAGATTAGAAGACGACGGAAACAAACCGAACCTTCGTGTAGCCTCGTCTCACGTAATCGATGAGGAAATTAATTAGGAAAATAAATCTAATTTGAATTCAAATCTGAAAGGGAATTATTTAGGGAAATGGGTTGATTTAGGAGGGAATTATGAGAGCCTATTTAAGGCAAATAATATGGTGATTTTGAATTATGTTTTGGGAGTTTGCTGAATTTAGTTTATTCTTAGTTTATTTGGGCGGGTAGGGATTTGAGAGAGCCGGATTTTCCTTTCAAATTGAAGATTCAACTGTATATTGCTATTTTCTTTCATATATCTTGTAATAAAAATAATTTTAGTGTGTTTTTCCTCCTAATTTTTTATTGTTGTTTGCTGATTTCGAAAAAATTGCATCCACTTCCTATCAGAATACTTTCCAAAAAATTACACTCCTATCTTCAGTTCCAAACAAATGAAGGATATCTTTAATAAGGCTCTAGGACATCTGCCTTTTGCTTGTTTTTATAATAAGTTGGGCTTACAGATATATATGCTCTAACTTGGGAATGCTGACTTTTTAGGTAAATATCGGAAAAATAGGCAGGACTCCCAAAAATTTGAAGTTGATTATATATATTTTAATATCCTCATAATTGGGAGTATTAATATCTTTTATTTTTTCCTCATTGTATAATTTGGTATGTTTATTTATAAGCTTCACATATTCAGTCCATAAGCATAGTAATTTGTCTCACACTCTACACATGTCTATATCATATTCACAGTATTATCTTAACCAGCAACAGTATTATGGGAATGACCAATTTGTTGGAAGTGGAGCAGCCATGGATCCTCCGGCTTCATATTCTTCTTTTCCTGTGAGGCCTGATGAACCTGATTGCCCATTCTTTGCAAAAACAGGGAGCTGTAAATTTGGTTCACGTTGCAGGTTTAATCATCCCATAGGACAGATAACTCTCACTTCAAACTGTGAGTTGAGCCCCATGGGTCTTCCGTTACGCCCGGTAAGCTATCCTGCTCACTTCGTATAATGAAGGACCTTGTATATGATCTTTCTTAGACTTCATTTGAGACGGTTTTTTTATTACTTCTTAAAACATCTTTTTAGTATAAAAATTTTAATTTTTGTACTAAAAAGTTGCTTTAAGAAGCAGCAAGAAAGCCGCCCCAAACAAAGCCTTAATGTTACATTTGATGACTATATATTAAACATTAGCTTTTTGCGTCTGTCTTGAGAAGTTCATACCACATTCATTTCTCTTGACAGATGTCCTGGATTCTGCAGTTAACTCTTTTCAGAAGGGAATTTAATTAACTCTTTTTGCAGGGTGAACCTAAGTGCAGTTTTTATGGCCGTCATGGTTACTGCAGATATGGCTCCACTTGCAAATTTGATCATCCAATAGCTGCACCCAATGTTCCTGTTGTTCGACAACCATTAGAGTCATCATCTGGGCCTGCCACCTTAACATTGTCAGCTGAAAGCTCTTCTGTAGCCAGCCCTGGAAAATTAAAATGCCTCCCCTCATCCAAACGACAGAAAATGAATTCTGACGATGAGAAGGTATAATCTGAATGATGATGGAACCACCATATCACTTGACGGGATTTTCTATATTTATTTCCTTTATGAGTTAAAGCATTTCACCGGCCTAAGTCGAGTCATTCTATCCAGAGGTGTCTATTCTTTTTTGAAGAGTTCATCTAAATAACGACTACTTTCACTTAATAATTGTGCTGGCCACCTCTTTACTGCAACGTTGTTTTATTTACCCTTTTTTATTTTCTCTTTTTTCCTTGTTGAAGGATTTCCTTGATTCAATTAATTCTTTTGAGCATTTCATAAAGTCTTTCAATTGTGTCTTTTCATTCGAGCTGTAGATATTCAATAAACGGTCATCTTCACTGAAACTCAGTTTGTGAAGCCACTTCTATGAAACCTGTTGATTGTCGAAAAACAATTTGTTTCCCCGGAGCACAGTTGTCTTCTAACTTCTTCATACCAACATATATGTTTTGTTTGGGATGGCTTTCTTACTGTTTCTTAAACCAGCTTTCTAGCACCAAAATTAATTTTTTTGTACTAAAAAGTTGCTTTAAGAAGCAATAAAAAGTCATCCCAAATAAAACCCTATGCTTCGTTTGGGACGGCTTTCATACTGCTTCTTAAAGCAACTTTTTAGCATAAATTTTTTTTCTAAAAAGTTGCTTTAAGAAGCAGTATGAATGTCAAAGGTTTTGTTTGGGACGATTTTCTTACTGCTTCTTAAAGCAGCTTTTTAGTATAAAAATTAAAATTTTTGTATTAAAAAGCTGCTCCAAGAAGCAATAAGAAGGTTGTCCCAAACAAAACCTTAGTCAGAATTCAGAAAAGAAGTGCTGCTGCTGACAGGATGGCTTTTTAACCCTTTATAGCTCAGTTTTGACTCGACTTACTGCATTGATAGATTTGTTTGCAAGGATAAATGTTGATGGGTGGGGTTGAGTGGATTCGGAATCTTTCTCTATTGCATAGCCCTTTGGGAATGTCAGTTGTATTGGGAGGCAATATTTCGGGTACCTGAAAACAAGAAATGATTGCCTATTTTTTAATATTTTCTGCTCAATGAATAAATTATCGAAGGCTGATCTCTGTCAAATTGGTTCAATGGGATCCACTATTCCTGGACCTTGTTTAATATTTTTCAATTCTAATGCTTGCAAAAAAAAAATTGTGATTTTGATTAAAATCGTAGAAGTGGCATTGCTAGCTAAATTTTATGGGTTCTCAGTGTTTTCGCTTGAGTAGATCTAAAGCTGATTATATGGAGTGTAATTTTAGTATTAATAGACATAGTGATGAGATTATAATTTTGGGCGATCAAGTCAGTAATAAGAGTACATGTTTTAGATATCTTGGATCTATTGTGCAGAGTGATGATGAAATAGATGGGGATATTATCAGGAGAATTCAAGTTGGATGGTTGAAGGGAGGAATACATTGGGCTTGTTGTGTGATTGAAAAGCCCCCCCTCAAACTTAAGGGAAAATTCTATAAGATGGTTGTGAGACCTGCAATTCTTTATGGTGTCGAATGTTGACCATTAAAAGAGAAGCATAATACTAAGTTAAGTGTTGCAGAGATGAGGATGCTCAGGTGGATGAGTGGCTTTACCCTTAAAGATAGGATATGAATGAGAATATACATGAAAAGGTTGGAGTAGCTCTAGTCGAAGATAATATTAGAGATAGTTGCCTTAGATAGTTTGGTCACATAAAATGGCGGTCTTCCGATGACCCGGTTAGAAAAGTAGAGGTGTTAAATTTGACTTATGTTAAAGAAGGTAGAGGTAGGCCTAAAAATGTTTGATTAGAAAATATTAGAAATGATCTTTCTTTATTAGATTTAATCGAGAATTTGACTTTTAACATGACACAATGGAGAAAAAATACTCATGTAGCTAATCCCACGTAATGGGACAAAGGCTTAATGTTATTGTTGTAGTGTTTTCACAGTTTGGAGCAGTATGATGCTAGATTGCAGTTATAGTAGCAAAAGGATTTGTAATGTTTGTGCAATGACATCAAGGCATATAATTGGTTGTGACTTTTTTCCTATAGTAGTGTGGTTGCATATGGTTGAACTAGTTGGTTATTTGTAGGTCGCATCTGGTAGAACTAGTTGATTATTTGTGAAATAATTTATGTATTGTTGTTTGTGACTTTTTTCCCGATATGATTTCATAATTGCAGCTCAAAATTATAGCAGAAGCATTTTATTAAATTAATTGTGTACACTCATAATTAATTGGGTTAGGTTAATCAAATTAGATTGTGGCCTTGAATTCATCTCATGTTTGAAGTCGTTAGACTTTGAACTTGCCTTAGATTTTGAACTTATCTAAAAATCTAAACTTGTCTTAGACTTGAAGTCATAGAGCTTAAGCCCTTTTCAGGCTTGAAGTTATCAAAGACTTGACTCACCATAGGCTTTACGTCTTATGAGAGCTTGAGCTCATCTTATATCTGAAGGAATTAGAAACTTTGTACTCGTCTTCAGCTTGAAGTTGTTGAAGACTTTGAACACATCTCATGTTTGAAGAGAATTTGAACTCATACTTGAAGTTAGACTTGAAGTCATCAAAGAGTCTTATCTCATCTCAAACGTAGTCATCAGGGGCTCTAAATTCGTCTCATTGTTGAAGTTATTAGGGACCATATTGTAACAACTCGAACCGATATAATGCACAGACAGAATAGATCTTACCTTGTCAAATGATGATAGGAACATATCACCAAGATCTAATTTGGAGAATTTCATGAGCTTCCAAAATTTTGTTGGCCATAGAGCCATTAAAACTTCAATTTAAAATATTTAATGTCAGCACCATAACGCTTAGGGCCTCAACACCCAAACCAAACGTCGTGGCGCCCCCATACATGTTCAAAACGTTAGAGAGCTCAATGTTGTAATGCTGCCAACCCCAATTCTGCGGCACTCCAGAGGAAAATTTTTTCAAAATTAGATTTCACACACAAACCTTTGGGATACGATTCAAAATAGAATTAATGCATTCACATACCTACATAACATCCACAAACACATACAGAATGAAAATGCAGAGAATTCAAATATGCAGGACTTGCCAGACTAGGTTCAGACTAATTCAGAGCATTGTAGTATTAGGTGTTTTACACATACTCATTTTAGACTTAAATTTGTTACAAGGCCTGAACTCTTCTCGTGCTTGAAGTTGTCAAATTCTTGCAACTCATCTTAGAATTTGAAGTCGTTAGAGAGTTTGAATCCATCTGATACTTAAAGCATGAAAAATTTTGAACTTGTGTTAGAATTAAAGTCATTAGAGAATTTGAAGTCATCAAAGAGCTTGAACTTATCTTATATTTGAAGTAATCCCAAAGAATAGTTTAACTCGTTCATTGAGCTTGCCTATTATTTAAGTCATCCAAAGAAAAATTCAACTTGAACTCACCATGAATTAAAATTTTCCAAAGAAAAGTTCAATTCCTTAATTGAACTTGCAAAGAATTGAATTTCTCCAATGTCATAGCCACTCACCAGAACTCAACGAGCCATAGCAAAATCGTCAAAATTTCACTTGAATTTTTTTTTAGTTGACTAAATATATATTTCCTATATAATTAATAGTTATATTCTTATTTTATGGAAATAATTTATTAAGACTTATTATGTAAAAACCAAGTTCTGGTTTTTCATCTAGCATTGTACCTTGAGTATAAATATAAATAAGGTTTTAATTGAAGGGGTCAGATTATTTGCTCAACTCTTACAATTATTAATAATTTAGTGAAATTATAGGGCTTGTCTCTTCGATTTTTTTTTCCCCCTGTAATTTTTTTCTTATTCTTTAGCCATTCATGTTAATAAGATTCTACTGCTATTCACAAATAAATTTGGATCATGTTGGATCAAAATGCATCTATGGATGACACTTGAATTAACTAGCAAGTAACCACAAGAGACAAGAGCCCAAGAACTAAGTGTGAGTGTGAAGAAGAGAATAGAAGAGAAGATTCTGAGAAATTAATATTAAGGAATCTTATAAAATGCTCTAATAAATTAGTAGTGCTCAAAAAGATCTAAAAATTAAGTGTTGCTTGACTCTTTGTTTCTAGGGACCTGAGAGCTGAATGAAGCATTATATCAAAATAGTGGAAAGTACCTTAATCATGTTCAATTTTGAACTATTTATGACATGTGTCAGGGCCTTATAGACTCCTAGATGGCTCCTCATCTTTGGCTCAATTCTCGATCTTAAGGTAAGTCTTTAAGGGCAAGTAAGGTGAGTTTCCTAGGTAAGATGAAGAGTTGGTATGGCGAGCCCTCTTGGCATGTTGACAAGTCTATATGGACAACTCTTGGGTTGTTAAATGTGAACTAGGGTTTCCTTTGGCTTATGATAACCGCAAGATGAGAGTAAGTTAAGTCCTGAGGATTAGACACTTGACCTATTGAGATGCTCCTCCCCTATAGTTGTGTTGAAGAACCCATGGTGTCTTAGAGATTTGGTTTGACAATTTGGGCTTAAGCAAGTAGCCTTGAAGGGTTGTACCCTAATAGAGAGAGAGAGAGAGAGAGAGAGAGAGAGAGAGAGAGAGAGAGGCTTGTGAGAGTCTAAATGAGCATGTACTAGTTCCGTGTAGCTCCTATTTGGGACAATTCTATAAAGACCACTATATTAGTAATCAAAACACTTGTGATAACCTAAACTAATATGGTAAGTTTAGCATGTTCAATCTCTGTATCTTATGTGAATATTTCTGAATGAATTTTTTGCATTTGATTGAGTCCTAAAGGTTTTATATGTGAAGGTATGCATGTGTATGAAAAACCTTTAGGAATGTTGCAGCGCTAGCTTTTGGAATGTTGTGGTGCTTATCTATCAATATTCTTGTGAAATAAAAGAGTCTCTAGGAGCACCACGATGCTGGGTTCTCTGTATTATGGTCTATTTAGGATATCTAATAGTGCTACAGCACTGGGTTCTCTTATGGTGAACAAAGATTAGGGTTTTTTGGGAGTGTTACGATGTTGGACCTTAAGGCATCATGGCACTGCATTCTGAATTTTATAAATATCAAAATTCAACTTCTTATATCCTAATTCAATTGCATCCATTGTCAGCGAGCAAGAGAGAGGAAATCCTTTTTAGGTATTTTCGAGCTATTTTCTTTTGTTGAGCCTATTTGTAAAGTTGTGCGGATTGAGACATGTTACATTTACCATATATTTATTTTTAATAATATAGATTTTACAAAAGTTTTAGTTTTTTAATTGTATAAATGACACAAAAGTGAGTATATTTAGACATATAGAAAATTTTCATCATATAATTTTTTATATGTCGTTATTCTTATTATTCAGTACATTTTGATTTATCTTTTAAATTTTTATTGGATATTTTTTATTATATGGAGTTGAGTATTTTGATGTGAGTATGATTTCTAATAAAAGTTGTTATAGAAAATAAAAGCCTAGAAATACTATTGTGAGCATTATCTATGATTAGTTTATGATTAGGAACTATTAAAGTGTGTATATGAATTTATCCCAAAATTTTGACTACTTTGCCATGAGGGTGATTGAATATTTTTGTGATGTGTCTGATTCTATTTATATCTATTAAAGTATTGATGTTTTGTGTTTATGTGATTCAAACTGTGTGGGAAGAAAATATTGTTGGATGTTTATTGATGCTTATGTGTATCAAATTGTGGAGAGATAAGGGCTCAATTTTGAATGAGTGAATGATGCTATACATTGGAAGTCATAAGGGTTTGATATTGATATGCACTATGAGTTATAAGAGATTGATACCGATGTATTTTGCATAAAGAGTCATAAGGATCTAATTCTGTATCTATTAGAGTAATCTTTCTTACTGGCCTAAGTAGTGATACTGCCTTAGGTGGTACATGAACTTCTTTAACTATCTTGGAAGATTGCAAGATCACCTAACACTTTAAATTTATTCTTAGACAATGGGACACTACTATCCTTTATCCTATGTTCTTTTCGAGATATAAGCATTCTATTTTTAGTCCAACAAGCCCCCTCAATCCATTTAAGAACAATAAAAAAATTAATTGCTACAAAGTTCACAGGAGCAGAAAGAATAAAAGATGCAAACTACCAATAGAAGTATAATTGAAAAGTTTAATGAAAATAGGATGACATAAGAATGCTTGAAATTTAGTGTTGGCCTCTTATGTTAAGGAAAAAGTAGCACCAACATTAGTAGCCATTATCGACACTTCAATATATGCTCTAACCCCTTTAAGAAGTATATAAGGTTGATTCCTTGATTGGTGTCGGGTCTCCTAGGATAATTTTGGTATGATAATCAATCTTACCAAAGCTTATAGTACTGTTTGGACTGAGAAAAACACTTTAGGATAAGATAATCATCACCCATCTTGAGATTCAATAGTGATATCATTCTGTTTATCATAATTTTTTTCTACATAAGAAAAAACCACTATTAATTTAATTTTAACATGATACCAATTACATACAAGTGACTAAAGTAATTACAATATCAAAGGTAATTTGACTTGATGAAGGATGACATCAATTACAAATAAACTGTTATAATTGTAATATCAAGATGGATAATTTTTAAAGGGTTTAACCATTAATTTAAGGATGAAATATCAGCTATGGATTTGATAATTTGGAACATAAGTAAGACTCTCATAGAAGAGAGAATTAGATTTATCCCTAATTAAAGCACTTATAATTTAATTTTACTTGGACAGTTAGAAAAGAAAGCTCTCAATGTGAGATTTGTCCAACATAATCAAACTCATAAAAAGATCTCATAAATTTATTTCATATAAATCATTGTATATTTTTATTTCTAAGATCCAAGTCTCCAAAAAAAATATTAGTATAATAGTTAACTATATATTGAGTAAAATTCAAGAATGCTCTTGCTAAAGGAATCAAGTTTAGCCAAGTTTCTAATAATTTGACCCCAAAAGTATTGCCAAATGAAATGAATGGGCTCAAAAGGATTTTAGGTATAACAAAGGTACTATGAAAAGGTAGATTTGACCTTATCATGATTTCATGAAGTCAACGTTCGAATTTATCACACTATATGTCTACTTAGTTAAGAAGGTAATTCAACCAAACCTGCCAAGAGGATTATTGTCGATAACTATGAATTGCACTGCCCAAAGAGAGCTTGTATTTACTAAGCCAAAGAAAATGTATGGAATTCCGAAACTTTATAACTTAGTAGAGAAGGAATATAAGACATATTGGTCTCAAAATATGCAAAGATTCTTATGAAAAATAATCGAAAGGGGTAGATTTGCTACTCAAGTCATACTATTTAAACTATTCTTACAATCCTATTTGGCTCAAATCTACCAATAAACTACTTAAATGTGCTACACTTTCTTCCCAAGAAAGATAAAGAATCATGCTGTCAATCATGCTTTAATAGAACAAGCATACTCTAATGGATATGAATGATGCAAAATTATATATATTTTTTATATAAAGACTTTACTAGCATGATAAAGAGATTATGCCATGCTATGCTTTGGGAATTGATCAAATTTTTACTAATAATTGATTCTTCTTTGTTAATAAGTATATGTAGCACCATATGTTACCTACATTTTCACATAGAAAAGGGAAAATCACTTTCATTTTTGTTTTTGAAAAAAGCAGTCCAATGAACATGCAATAAATTTTGTTAGAAAAATATTTACCAAAATTGATTGTAAAGTTATTTATATATTTATGCTTAATTTTTAGTAAGGTAATATTTTCCTATGAACCTGATAAAAAAAGAAGGGTTTCAAACAAACATACATCATTAACAATGCAAAAATTTAAAAAAAAAAAAATCAATCAATTTGCAAATAGGCAATCATCGCAAAATGGAATAAAACATAAGAATTTTCAATTGCAGTTGGGTTCTGCAATAAACCCCAATAAAAACAAAATATTAGGAATAGTAGGGTTTAAGGTAAAAAATAATAATAACGTAAAGATAAAATTTATGAAGATGAGGTGTAAGGTTTTGTTTGAAACGGCTTTCTTACTGTTTCTTAAAGCAGCTTTTTAGTACAATAATTAAAAAATTACTTTAAAAAACAGTAAGAAAGACATCTCAAACGAAGTCTAAAAAACATATATATGAATAAGCAAAAGAAGAACAAAGCATGTGAAAGTGTATATACAATTTGCTTCTAAAAGCTTATTAGTTTAGCATGATTTTATGCTAATAACGAGCAATATCTTCGAGTCCATTAAAAAAAAAAATCTTCGAGTCCATTACACTTGTTGAATATTTATATTAGCTATCTAGCACGCATAATTACAAGCAAATAAAAAGCATCAAGCCAAACATATCAATGACGTCCTAAATTATGTGGATGTGTAAAATGATCATATGAGATTTATGCTTCATTTGGAACAGCCTTTTTATAGCTTTCTAAAGCAGCTTTTTAATACAAATTAAAAAAATTTTAACTTGAAAACTACTTTAGAAAGAAGTAAGACCGTTGTCCCAAATGAAACCTTAATTATGATATTATTCTTATCAAATGATAGTTAATATATCATAATAATAGGTCAAAGGGATCTTAACAATTGATGTGCTTACACATCTACTACATGATCATGATATTTGTGAAATGCCTAAACAAATATTGTTTATTTAGATAACCCAAATAATATTTCTAAGATAACATAAAAAATTAGATATTAAATGCTTGTCAAAGTTATATTTCACTCACTCAGACAAGATGCAGTGCCTAAATGACTAGAATGATCTAGACATCTAAAAACTTTCCGAGCAAATTTTTCTTACTTGAAGGACGATATGATATAATATGAGTAAAATTTGCTTTTTAAAAAAAATTTATGTACTAAAAATTTTCTTTAAGAAGTAGTAAGAAAATCATCCCAAACGAAACCTTAATCATGAAAAAGTTCTAAACCGATTTAGTTAATATAGAATATTATATAAATAATCTAAGATGATTTGTCCTCTTCTTACAGTTGTCAAATATAGTTAAGCATTCTACAATTTGTTCAGATTTTATTATTCTTCTTATAATTACTAGATCATCAAACAGTATCCCTTCAACTTTCAGTTTCTCTAAGCTATAACTCAATGATTACAAAACGCCTCAAATATGAGGTTCATTATTCTGTACGGACGCCGAACGCCGTCCGTGACCAGCAAGAATGTGTCATCTCACCCCTTCGCTCGGTCTCCCAGCTCGGTACCGCGGCTCAGTACCACTGACGTGGCGCATTCTGGTTGATCTATAGACGGTATTCTGCATCCGATCTCCGCATAAAATAATTTCTCTAATGCAGTGCCGTTAACAAGAAAGAGATAGTATAATATGGGAAAAAGACATCACTTCAAACCTACATCACAGTCTTTTTATACCGTGGAATTGAATCCTGCAACCAAATTAATAATGTAGTCGACTTTGAAAACATGGAAACTACAATGAATTGAACATTCTTGAAAATCAATATAAACCGGTAGCTCTTTGGCTATAAGACAGACATTTTCTTGCCTGAACAATTTATTCATGTTACTGCAACTCTGCACATACAGAACCAATACCAATCAAAGATTTGAAAACATAACGAGCAAACAAAAAACAGCCATGCCAGTAGACAATAAAGCAGGTCTGCAATTTATCGATTGCAAGGGTGAAAGAAAAAAGGTACTATTTTTCTTTGTTACCGTTAGGAAAAAACTTAGAACATCCATCTTGGAGAGAGCTGAAGTACATTCTTTCGTGATCTTATGGGTGGCGGATCTGAGCCATTCCTCTTCTTCATGCTTGACGAGACCGTTGGGCTGTAGTACTCACGGCTCTTATGAGTAATATATGACTGTGCTTTCCTCGCTGGTATCATTCTGTGCTGATTCTGTAGCATTTCCCTTCTTTTTGTTGTGTTTCTTTGAGATGATTCCCATCTGCTATAGTTCACACAACTCTGGCTCCTGCCCACTGGATTGAACTTGCTAATTTCTTTGGGAGGACTAGGGATGTTTCTGCTCTCCATAGTTTCAGCTGAGTACATAGTTTCTTCTCCACTGCTGAACCCCTCGCCCTCATTAGGTAGCTCAGAAACCTCCAATGGAGATGAACATGACTGCACCTCACTGCAGCAATCATCTTCCATTGATGGATTTTCTGGTTTCGATTCATATCTAATATTCTCATTCGGTTCTGGAAGTGGTTGCTTTAAGAGCTTTGGCAAGACGATGGATCTTGGAGCTCTTGGAGGGAAATTAATGTCCAAGAGCTGAACTGTGGCAGTTTCCTTCCTCCTAATTGTCCCTGAAGTAATCTTCGGAGATTCATAGATCTCCGGAGTTGAAATACCTTGTCCAATGGCAACCACATTAGCAGAACTGCTTGATCCCAGCTGAAATTTGGATTTTCCAGTTACGTGTGCAGAAGAAGAGATGTTTGCATCTTCCTGATCTTCAGGCTTGAAGATCTGACGCTGACTAAAAGAACAGGAGTGCTCGCTCTTCTGCCCGGTGGACAACAACCGAATCAAGGGCAATTTAGGCTTGCTTAGCTCATCTAAGCTGCCCTCCCAGTGCTGATGTAACCAGTCACAAATGATAGGGATAGGAATTCCAAAAAGCATTGATGAATCCCCCTTGCATGTCAATGACGAGGATGAGGAAGCTGAAGAAGATTTACCAGTCGGAGAAGATGCAAGCTTCATTGGGTCACATATCATCAAGGCAAGATTTCCTTGTGCATCAAAACCAGCAGAGCCCGGGGACCAAGTTCTTCCCTCAGCAAATAGTTTTATAAGATTATCAGTGGCAACCACTACTTTTCCCTCCCCAATGACCAGTTCTTTTTTATCGGTGTAACTTAGCAAATAAACTGCACTGCCAAGACCTAGACTTGGATTGCCACATGTTTTCAGGTAGGAAGGATGATGGCCCTGTGAATTCGGTTTAGTAACTGCAGCATCTAGTCCAACTATTGTGAGATCAAGAACTGAACTCGTGATAAAGAACCTGAAACGTGAAAGAAGAAGAAACAGAGATTACTTGATGCCATGTTCACCCTAAGATCATAAGGATAATGGGTTTTCCCACAATGAATAAAAAGAAAAAACTCTTGTAATTGCAGCCGTTGAGGCGCCTTTCATCTTCTGGAGATCCCATTACATTGCCAATGACACAGATACATGAAAATCATTTGATATCCTTCTATTTCACTTTCATCTTTAGTTCCAATTCTTGAGAAGCTAATTTTCAAATTTCTATATTAAATTGGATCTTCTACATAATGGCATCATTCAAATTTTGCAAAATAAATAACTAAAACTGGTCTCCTTTGTCTTTTAAGAATTTGAGAAACCATCATTGTTAACAAGCCTTTTCACAATAATTCAGAGCAACATAATGAAACCTACTCTGTTAATCCTTCCCATTAAGAACTTCATCAGATTAAATTGCTATTAATTTGAGATTAATAATGGTTACTAATAACAGAATCTGACAATCAAGGACAGGCTCTCCTCCACTCTCAATAACAGAACAAAGCATCTCAAACCCGCAAGTGTCTTGTGATGCGGAGCATCTTTAGACGGTGCACCGGAGGAACATCTTATTCAAGCACTTTTAGTTAGTTAGAATATTCTCTGCCCTTTTACTGTTTTAGACCGTTTGGGCTCAGAGCCACTTTTATCTCCAGGTGTTATTTTTGTTTCTAGGAGGTCTTAGCTGAAAGGTAGTATTAGTAGGAAGAAGCTGTAGGAGGTACTTAGTTTTTGAAGTTACAATCTCTATAGAGTTTATTATCATCTTCTTCTTCTTGTTGTTAAGCTTTTAGTGCAGGTACTACATCATCTTCTGGTATCAGAGCTAAATGGCGGAAGGCAGCAAGCGGGTGGCTCCCGTGGAGGAAAAAAGCTTGGAGGTCCTGTGGGCCGAACACTCTGGGTTAGCCAGGCACACGGAGGAATTGACGGCCAACTTCCGTCGATTCTCCGACGAGGTGCGGCGAGACTTGAGAGATATTCGTGCTATGTTAGAGCGCAATGCCGAACCACGAGGGGGTTTGCCGGCAACCATACCAGCAACTCACAGATGGGGCGGAACGAGAAGGTTACCAAGGTACCACGCACCGGAGACGTTTGCTTCCGATTCGGACGAAGGTTTGGAACAATTCGCGAATCTGGAGTTATCGGAGTCAGAGGAAGAATTGACGGCGCCTCGCCAGAGGAGAGTCCGAGAACAGGATCGTTCAAATGGAGAGTTTAGAGTCAAATTGGACATTCCGTTTTTTGACGGAAAATTGCACATCGAAGACTACCTTGATTGGGAACGATCGGTGGAAACCTTCTTCGAATATATGGAGATTGAACCTGAGAAGCAGGTCAAGTACGTGGCGTGCCGATTAAAGGGCGGGGCTAGCGCTTGGTGGCTGCAGATGATCCAGTCCCGGCGCCGAGAAGGTAAAGGTCCGGTACGCAGTTGGTTCCGTATGAAGCAGCTGCTCCGGGGACACTTTCTTCCTACAGATTATGAACAAATGCTCTATATGCAATACCAACATTGCATACAAGGAAATCGGTCCGTCAATGACTATACCGAAGAATTTTATAGATTGAGTGCCCGAAATAATTTGAATGAGTCGGAAAACCAATTGGTAGCTCGATATGTGGGGGGCCTCAAGGATTCAATTCATGACAAGCTCGAATTGAATACGGTATGGTCACTTTCTCAAGCCGTGAATTATGCAATGAAAATTGAAATGCAGTCCACTCGGCAAAGCAGGAGCAACTATAGCAGGAAGGCTGTGGAGTCCGCAGCAGACTCTAATCGGATGGGTAGTATGAAATCAGCTACTTTCAACAGACAACCCGTCACTAGTCAGGCGAGCCCTTCACAACCATTGGCAATTAACAAACCGGAGGAGGTCAGAGGAATTCCAAAATTCAAAGGGCCAACCAAAGATAATCCGTATGTGAAGCCGTCCACCATCAAGTGCTTTCGGTGTTTCCAACAAGGGCATAAGTCCAATGAATGTCCCTCTCGCGGTCAATTGCAATTGTTAGATGGGGAATTCGAAGAGGGAGAGGATGAGTCCGAGGATAGACAGACCAATCTGGTAGAAGAGGTTGCTGGGGATGAAGGGGAGCCACTGGTGTTTGTTCTACAACGACTTCTACTCGCTCCTAGACAGCCAAATAATTCTCAGAGAAATGCTCTCTTTAAAACCAAATGCACTATCGGTGGAAAGGTATGCAGCCTGTTGATTGATAGTGGTTGTACTGAGAACGTGATATCCAGGTCCGTGGTACAAGCTCTCCAGCTCAAGACAACTAAAAGCTCCAACCCATACAAAATCAGTTGGGTAAAGAGGGGGGTGGAGCTGACCGTATCCGACTTGTGCAGAGTGCAGTTTTCCATTGGAAAATATTACATAAGCGAGGTTCTTTGTGATGTCATAGATATGGATGTTTGCCATGTCATTTTGGGTCGGCCATGGCAATTTGACGTGGGGGAAATTTTCGATGGGAGAGCAAATACTTATACCTTCGACTGGAAGGGGAAGAAGTTACGGTTACTGCCGGATTCCCCAGGCAAAGAAGCCGCTCCTCCCACGGACAAAGCAGCTCTGTTCGTGGTTCCAGGTAATGCATTGCTTAATGCATGGAAAGAGTCATCAGATATTGTGGCTCTTATTGTCAAAGAGCAAGCCACAACCGTAGGCAAGACTGAATTGCCACCAGCTGTGAATCAACTCTTGCAGCAGTATTCAGACGTTTGCCCTCAGGAGCTTCCAGCGGAACTGCCCCCTCTGCGATCCATAAATCACCAAGTTGATTTGCATCCCGGAGCCACTTTACCCAACATCCCTCATTACAAGATGAGTCCCACGGAACACAGAGTTTTGCAGCAAATTGTGGATGACTTGCTCCAAAAACAACTTATACAGCACAGTTTAAGCCCTTGTGCAGTCCCAGCTCTGTTGGTACCAAAAAAAGATGGCAGTTGGCGAATGTGCATTGATAGTCGGGCAATTAACAAGATTACAGTCAAGTTCAGGTTTCCAATGCCGAGATTGGATGAGATGATGGAAAGGCTGGTCGGCTCTCAGATTTTCTCCAAATTGGATCTGCGCAGTGGGTATCACCAGATACGTATTCGTCCTGGGGACGAATGGAAGACAGCCTTTAAGACCCGGGAAGGACTTTATGAATGGCGAGTTATGCCATTTGGATTATGTAATGCTCCCTCAACTTTCATGAGATTAATGAATGAAGTTTTGAAGCCATATTTGAACAAATTTTGTGTAGCCTACTTCGATGACATCCTAATTTTCAGCAAGAGCTTGGGTGAACATTTGGAGCATCTGAAAAGCATACTTGAAACGCTGAGGCAGAACAAACTCTATCCAAATCTTGCAAAATGTGATTTTGCCAGCGAGATAGTGGCATTCCTGGGTTTCAAAATCTCGGCGGAGGGAATTAGCGCCGATCCACGGAAGGTGGCTGCAATTGTGGACTGGCCAAATCCACAATCATTCACAGATATTCGGAGCTTTCACGGACTCGCAAATTTCTACCGAAGATTCATTAAAGATTTCAGCATCATCTTGTCTCCTATCACAGATGTTCTGAAGCAAAAAAACTTTGTGTGGGAAGAAGAACAGCAACGAAGTTTTGCTAGAATCAAAGAAGCCCTGTCCACTGCACCGGTGCTAGCATTGCCAGACTTTGACAAACCTTTTTCCGTTGAAACTGATGCGTCAACTACCGGAATTGGCGCCGTGCTGTCTCAGGATAATAGGCCGGTTGAATTCTTCAGCGAGAAGCTGTGCTCATCCCGACAGCGCTGGTCTGTATACGAGCAGGAGCTATATGCTGTAATTCGGGCACTCAAACAATGGGAGCACTATTTGCTGCACCAGGATTTTGTTTTATGCAGTGACCACAAGGCTTTGCAATACATCAACACTCAAAAAAACATCAATCGGATGCACGCAAGATGGATCTTGTTCCTACAAAAATTCACTTTTGTGTTAAAGCACAAAAGCGGCACACAGAACCGGGTTGCTGACGCTTTGAGCCGTCGGTCTATGCTGATAACTCAGCTAAAGGTTGAATTCGTGGGATTGGAATGTCTGCAAGAATTGTACGCAGAAGACGAAGACTTCAGTGGAAGTTGGCTGAAGTGTATGAACAAAGAACCAGATGAAGATTATTCGATCCGTCACGGATTCCTTTTTAAAGGAAATTTGTTATGCATACCAAAATCATCTTGGAGGCAGCACCTCATCCAAGAGATCCATGGTGGCGGGTTATCAGCCCACGCAGGCAGGGACAAGACTATTTTCCAAATGACGAGCAAGTTCTTCTGGCCCCATTTGAGGAAAGATGTTACTAAATTTGTGGAGAGGTGTTCGGTATGTCAAAATTACAAGGGAGGCGGACAAAACACGGGGTTGTATTTACCATTGCCAGTGCCGGAGTCCATTTGGGAGGACTTAAGTCTAGATTTTGTGCTTGGCCTGCCCCGTACTAAGAAAGGCAATGATTCAATTATGGTGGTGGTGGACAGGTTTTCCAAGATGGCACATTTCATAGCCTGCAAGAAAACCTTCGATGCGTTAAACGTGGCTAAGCTGTTCTTCAGAGAAATCGTGAGGCTTCACGGTTTGCCGCGCAGCTTGACATCCGACCGAGACGTGAAGTTCATCAGCCACTTTTGGCGGGAATTGTGGAAGCGGCTAAACACTAAGCTCCAACTCAGCTCACCATATCACCCTCAAACCGACGGCCAGACAGAAGTGGTGAATCGCACTTTGGGAAATTTGCTGAGATGTATTGTGCAGGACAACACAAAGATGTGGGACGAGGTGCTCGGACAAGCGGAATTCGCATTCAACTCCATGCCTAACCGCTCTACTGGTATGTGCCCATTTAGTATTGTATATACTAAAATGCCAAATTCTACCGTTGATGTCACAGTATTACCCAAGTGCAAAAGTCAAGCGGCTGCAACGTGGATTGATCAGTTTTCGGAATTGATTACTTCTGTCCAACAAAAACTGCTGGAGTCGAATGCCAAATACAAGGAGGATGCAGATGCACATAGGAGGAGGAAGACATTCCAGCCGGGTGAACTGGTGATGGTCCGGTTGAAGAAAGAACGAATGCCACCCGGAACATACTCTAAATTGGGCAAACGCAAGTTTGGACCCTTTCCGGTGCTCAAATGTATCAACGAGAATGCCTACATGGTGGAGCTACCAGCTGAGTTCAATACTCCAAACACATTTAATGTGACCAATCTGTACCCATTCTTTCCCCCAGATGATGGCAACAGTAATCTAGAAGACCCAATGACGGTTCCCGTTGGAGAAGGGGCGAATGATGCGGAGCATCTTTAGACGGTGCACCGGAGGAACATATTATTCAAGCACTTTTAGTTAGTTAGAATATTCTCTGCCCTTTTACTGTTTTAGACCGTTTGGGCTCAGAGCCACTTTTATCTCCAGGTGTTATTTTTGTTTCTAGGAAGTTTAGCCGAAGGTAGTATTAGTAGGGAAAGGCTGTAGGAGGTACTCAGTTTTTTTAAAGTTACAATCTCTATAGAGTTTATTATCATCTTCTTCTTCTTGTTGTTAAGCTTTTAGTGCAGGTACTACATCATCTTGTATCACACACATACACGTGTAGTGTCTAGAACAATCTTTCATACATATATATACTCTACTCATCTGTATACAATTAGCTTTCTGAAGGAATATGTCATATACCTTATCTGTTGTCACTTCTTCAGTTACCACTTCTATGTTAACCATTGCCCTATTTCCTAAACTCTCTTGCATCAGTTTGGACAGTTTGGTTCATTGTAAATATCAATAAAAAAAAGGTAAGAGTTAGATTAGGTGGCATTTCCCTCTGCCTTCAAATATAAGGTTAGGCGTAAAATCCCCTAAAAACTCAAACATAGAGGCTTTGTGTTAACCATGACTTTGTTAATTTTGATAATTACCACATTATGTTCATGAAGGAAAAATACTAATATGTCATAGACAAAGAAAGTAAATGTTTACGCCTAAAGTGTGAATGTGACCACATTATCTTGATCAGTCACAAGTGCATTATATATCAATATTTTTGTTAGGCAAATGTTGTATTTTGGAAAAGCAAAATTACATATCGGATTGAAAATACATATCCGGAAATACATGAAGCTATCCTGATGGCTTCGTTTGATGCAGCTTTCTTAATGCACTCTAAAACAGTTTTTTAATACAAAAATTTCTAGTTCAAGATATATTTGTACTAAAAAACTGTTTTATAAAGCAGTAAAAAATTTGTCCCAACTGAAGCCATAGTTGCAAGATCTACCATGTACTAAATTCTGCATAATGGTAATGTAGAACGGAGGGAATACCAAAATTGAAATCAGAACATGCATGCTACCATTTTCAGGCAATTCTCACATTTTGAGTTGGTCACTCAATAAATAAGGATGATAAAGTGTGAGTAAACACAAATAATCAAAACCTTCAAAAAAAAGTTCATCGCTTCTAAATTGCTGAATTACTCTCCCAATTCAAGTCAATCAATATCAATATCAAATAGATCAGAAGTCTCGGACCTACATTGAACCAAAAGTAACTAGATCTCAATCCATACACTAAAGAAAGGCCTAACATCATTGCCCGTACAAGAAATTGCTACATCTAATGATATCCTTCCTTTTTTCTCACACACTGCCGTTATCATTAGCCATAAAAGCAAAAGGAACGGAGCTAGCCATAATGGAAACATAATTTAGAAAATAGAGATTCGAATAGCACACCGACCTGTAAGGGACGAGGCGAGCTGGAAAGCGTCCCTGATTGAGCTGGATCTCGACGTCCTCCGCCGCCGTGACCGACGCCAGAGTCCCATGGGTGGTGAGTAGGAGGTTTGGGTGGATGAGGAAACCAGTTCCATCTCCTCGACCAGCGCCGGAGGAGATGGAAGCCATAGCCGGTCCTTTGCAAGACAATAGACTTCCCATCAACCTCTCCGTCCGTCCTCCTCCACAAAAGCACCACCCATTTCCCTCCCTCCATACCCCCATCACTGCTCCGGTGGCGGTAACGGAGTATCGTATTGCAGCTCCGCGGATCTCTCTCTCTCGCTCGCTTTCGGCACTGTGCGTTCTGATAAATGAGACGATGCTTTTAAGTTTTATTCGACCACTAAACGTGACCCAAATGATGACAACTTACACGTGGTCCCGCAAGTGAAGACGGGTTCTGCAGGGTGCAAGAATATCATGTGACTTCTTCAATTTATTATTTCCTTGGCGAGTGAACCGAGGTGTGCATGAAACCTTTAATAGTTTGAGCAAATTTAGCCGAGGGTGTATAGTGAGTCACGCCGACTTGTTAGGTTAACTTGAAGTTAAATTTGATGAGTTAATTAGTCAATTTTGAGTCAATCGTAATTAAATTGATTAGCTCTCAAATCCGCTCGTTTTAAAAATATTAATATAAAATACACTTAAAATATATTAGCACTTTATATTTTACATAAAAAAAATTGTTTAACATATTTATGAGTTATATTTCACTTTTTTATATTAACTTACTATTTATTATTTTATTTTTATTTTTTTTTTATTTTCCATCATTTTATTATAGTTGTGCGCTAGAAATTTTGAGGCAGTTGACTGTGTGTTGCATGTCTTAGTAGTATAGAAAGATTCAACATGAATAGATCAAGTAGTAGGACCAAAAAAAATTACGTGAAAATTTCGGAAAGGAAAAAATTGGGAGCCTGATCCAGTTTCAAAATTCACTAAAAAAAAATTATTGTTTTCCTCACTTTTGAAGAAGAGGGAAAGTACAAAAATTTAGTGTTTTTAGATGGATAGTTAATGCCCAACAATAAGGTTTGATTCTCTCAATAGAGAGTATAGAAAGTAGATGTCCACATGCGGATAGATGTATTCAGTAGTAGAGTTAAATCTTGTCAGTTCTCAAGAGAGGGTTGTAACTTCAGATGTTGATAGCCGATGATGATGGTGGTTGTCGGTGGCAATAGTTGGTCATTGTCAGCGGTGGCAATAGCTGAAAAATGCTAGATTGCTCTCATTTGTTCTCTCTCCCTTGGGCTCATTTGGATCCAGAAGGGACTGGTTTTGGTGTTATCAGGTTCGTCTTGTCAAAATGTTCAATTTCACTATAAGTTTGCTAAGATCGAAGTTTGGATTGTCCCAAATTTAACATTAAAAGTTTTCAATTCACTTATGCCTCAAGATTCTTGCCTGATTAATGTGATTTTTGGTGACATATCAATTATAATAATTATTTAAATCATAATTATTTTCTATGTTTTATAAAAAATGAGCCGGCTCGAAGTCTTAGAACAAAGCTTGAACTTGAACTCAAACTTCCTTATTAATCAAGTTGAACCTCTAGTCAATAATGGCTTTCCTCTAATAAATTTTAATACGTAATTAATAGTCTAAGATCCAACACATAAAAAACATAAAATTAAAAGGTTTTGGATACATGATGGATCTGTTGGATCGGATTTTCAGAAGATTTTGACTTATATACATGTTTTGCAGTTGAGCTTTACAAGGACAAGGCTTATTCAATTTTACTATGTATTAATTTGGCTTAGAGTTTGTTTGTTCTTTTAATAAAAAGTTATAGAATAAAAAAGAATATAATGAAAAATACATGCACTGTATTGATTTTTTTTATTTTTTTTTTTTGAGATATTTGATTTAGTATAATATAACTCTAAAAAGTATATTTTTTTGTATTTGGTTTGAAATACAATTAATACAATATAAAAATCAATAACAATGGCGAGCGATCTCAAATGATCGATTGTAGTCACTGACAGCAACGGTGGTTGGTGGCCATGCTAGTTTGCAGTGGGGGTGGTCGGGGCTAGTGTCAATTTTACAGAAGCTGTGTATTTGAAATTCAGTCAAATTAGATAAATTTCAAATGCATTGAAGATAAATTAAAAATGAATTCCTAATTCACTCTCTTAAGCACTTCGCATTTGAAATATAGCCATCCAAATTGTGGAATTTTGAAGATTTTAAAGTGATTGAGCTACCTAACCTTTATTTATGTTATTGGATTGAATCTAATATATTTAAAATTGTTAGTAATATTGTTAACCCCCTTCACAGTTGACTCTTTAACAACTTTTAAATCGTACTAATCTTTGCTAAGGTTAGTGTGCGAATCTCTACTTACTTTGCTCTCCCAAATAATATTTTTATTTCCTTAAAGAAGAACAAATTTGTTCAACCAAAGAGTTGAGAATGAAAATCTTAGCCTTATAAGGCTTGTGATACTTTTACTCATAAAGTCTCTAGTTATCCAAAAATTCAAACTCATAATATTGTAGAGCATTATGAACTCTATTTTATGTACTATTTCTCTATTTTTACGAGCGTCATAGATATGAGAACAGGATGTTTCTTATTTGACTTGTTCCTCTTTAAGGCGTTATCATATATTGGTAAAAGTGAAATTTTTGAACTATTTTATGAGTGCATTGTATACATGCTATACTATTTATTAACTATTTTTTCATAATTTGTGAAATTTCAAATTATAAGATATTAAAATATTTATATAATATAATATTCTATTATTTATTTTCATCTAATTTAATAAAATCCTATATGATATAATTCCTTTTAGTCATATCAATCTCACAAATTGTGAGAGTTTAGAGAGGAGAGAAGGAAAGACAATAGAAAGAGAAGGTTACTTTTCTGAGGTCTTAAGGTTTTGTTTGTGATAGCTTTCTTAGTGTTTTATAAAACAGTTTTTTAGTAAAAAAAAGGAATGAATTATAAAATTTTGTACTAGAAAGTTGTTTTAGAAATCAATAAAAAAGCTATCTCAAACAAAACATTAGAGCAATTTTGTCTATTAGGCCGGTTGAGAAAGTTTTCCTACTCAAGATAAGCTATTATTATCCTTCTATTTATTTTTTCCTCTCACATGAAATTTGATATTTTATTTGCTTAGATTTTATGCAAATCTAGATCTATAAAGATTCTAAGAATTTTTACTAAAACCATAAACCCTATTATTTTATCATACATATAGATTTTATAAATTTTTGTAACATGTTATATTATAATATTCATATATGCTTAATCTATTTATATTTTTTATTTCTTATGATTCTAAGATGTCTATACAAAGAGATCATAGAAACAGGGAAAGTAAGGGTGGAGGTTAAATGTACTTTATATGCTGCTAAGGTATAAGTACTTGTATATTTATATAATTATTTATGTATACGTATGATACACATAAGTAAAGGTTCAAGGGAAAGTTAATGCACAAGGAGCAAAGAAAAATATGAAATTTTCTAAAATGAAAATTTAAAATATTATTTTCTGCCAAGTTATTTTATTTACAATATCTTATTTAAAGAAAGTTGAGGTTTAGGTTGAGTAGATGCTACTAATTCAAGTTGTGACTTTGATTCAAACTTTGTACATTATTATAGCTCTAATCTTTTGGAAATCATAATGCTTTCTATATTTTATTAAGAGAGATTATAACATGATTGTTAAATTGGTCCTTTTTATTGTATAAATAAGTGATGTGAATGAAAATATATTTATGTTTTCATTAAAAAAAAAAATATTTATGTTTTCATTCAATATTTATTTGTTAATATAAAAAGGACTTTGTATTTATAAATATTGAAAAAAAAATCTTCAAAATAGATCTTATGTAATTATTAGACTATTACGTAGGGGTGTCAATTCGAGTCAACGGGTCGGGTTCGGGTCGAACCCGGAACTGACCCGGCACTGTTCGGGTCAACCCGAACCCGACCCGTTTTTAAAAACGGGTCAGGTTTCTGGATCCGAACCCGACCCGATTTGGGTCCGGGTCAACCCGACCCGACACGAATGACCCGGGATTGACCCAAAATTGCTAATTTTCGGGTCAAAAATCGGGTCAAACTCGGGTTTTCGGGTCAAAATCGGGTCAATCTCGAGTTTTTGGTTCAAAAATGATTTTTCGTGTCACTTTCGGGTCAATTTCGGGTTGGCGGGTCAACCCGAACCCGGCCCGATTTTTAAAACTGTTTGATTTCATGAACCCGAACCCGACCCGTTTCGGGTTTGGGTTGACCGAACCCAGATTTTTCTGGGTCGGGTTCGGATCGTGTTTCGTGTCGTGTCAAAAATTGACACCCCTACTATTACAACTTTAGCATGTTGCAACCTATCTTGATATAGTAATTTGCATTAAGCTTGGCCATGATAATTACTTTTTATCACAGAGTAATAGATTTGAAGGAATTAATTTATAGTTAGAGCTATGAAAATGATATATATATATATAGTAGAGATTCATGTAGCTTAAGATTATTTTCCTTTTCTTCCCCTTTTTTATTGTGTTGAGTCATTCCATCTACATGAAACATTTCGATCTTTCAAAATCATATGTAGTTCCTTCTTGAATTTAATTACGATAGTCCATATGAAATTTATAATTTTATAATATGAATCAATTATATAAAAATATTCTTAACTCCCAAGGTGATACATTATTTATAATAATGTATTTGATTTTAAGATTAAAAATATAAAAGTCTATATTAAATTTTTTCCATAAATACAATCCAATTGATTGTTTCACTCCCAAAATTGCAAATACCAAATTGCCCCTAAGATTCACATTTTTTATTTTTGAGGAACTCTCTATAATATAAAAATGAGATTATTTTCATTTATAATGAATTTTAAAGAATATTTAAAAGAAAATGGGAAATATATTTGTGCATGGCCTATATAAACTCAAATATCCTAATGTTTTATCAATTCATTCGGCCGCAGCCCACGAATTTTTATTGCCTCCTCCCACCTGACGCATCTCTACGTTCGGTATACCTTCATAACGCGACATCTGGCAGCAACTTTACCCATTTTGACCCGACGCTAGCCCATATACTTTTCGATATTTTTTTAAATTATTCGGGTTGGGCCGTCGTAATGTATATGAGAAGGGCGGGAAAATGAAAAAGTACGCGGCTTTTACCTATTGTATTAAAACCTTCTATGTATTAAACAATCCCTTTGCTTGTTTGGTAGCAACAACATTGAATTCTTCAACCAGGAATCCTCTAATTGATTCAGGCCAATTGTACTGATTAAACAATTCTGGAGTGTTAAGAAGTTCAAAGATGGAAACTGGTATCCGAAAGTTAGCCATCGGATAAAATATGTTCGATAGCAGGTAAAGTAGGAAGCATTTCACAACGTCATCCAATCTAGTGCTACTATCCAACCTCTCAATGTCGTGGCGAATGTCATTTGATGTTTTACCAGTGGATTTCGCACTGCCAACGTCAAAAATAATACCCCTACTTGGCATGCCTATCAGTATTGAAACTTCTTCAGTTGAAAATTTAAGAGATCGTCCTTTAATAATAAAACTTTCAGTTTTCATATCCCACTTCGATATTAGCATATGTATGAGTGGAACATTTTGAGGCATAACAGGAAGCCTAAGAAACTGGTTGAGTACCGAGCAGTACCTACCGAGCAGCACGGAGCAGTACCGAGCATAGTAGTTATGCTTGGAACACATCTATACCGAGCTATACCGAGCAGTACCGCTCGGTATACTAGGATACGCTTCAGCACGGAGCAGTACCTAGCATGGAACAGATCGATACCGAGCTATACCGAGCGGTCCGCTCGGTATACTACTCGGATACGCTTCGTAAACCCTACCATATATATATTGAAGAAGTAACTAACCTGAGGCATCGTAAAAGAAAATATGCAGAGCTTGAAACTTCGCAGAAATGGAAGAAGCAGAAGCGCCGGTTGGAGAAGATGAAGTATATCGAAGCGTATGATGACTGAAGTGAAAGACGGTAAGGTTTGTTCGAAAACATAGCCGTTTTTTTCGGGTCCGCGCGATAATATTCGGGTCCGCTGCTCGGGCCATTAGTTTTAAATTTCGCACGTGCCATATATCCAATTATCGTCGGGTCGGGTTTCGGGTAAAATTGCTGCCAGATGTCGCGTTATGAAGGCATAACGAACGTAACGTAGAGATGCGGTGGGAGGAGTCAATAAAAATTCGCAGCCCACAGGCCCACAACAGTCCGATATCTTTCTCTCGTCAAGCTCTGCCTGGCGGCTAAAACCTTGCCATTGTTAGTACTTCGTAAACCCTAACCACGTCCTTGACCGGCATTAACAGATTCCTCTATCGCTCTTGCTTCCGTCTTCTCCCTTCCCCTTCCGACTCCTCTCCAGTCAAGGTACTGTGTTGTTTTATTATTATTATTTTGGCGATTCTCACTCTAATGGTTTTATGTTGTCAAGGAAGCTAGATTGTATATAGTTCTATAGATTTTTGTTCGTTATATTTAATGATTTTATGCTGTCACGGCGGCTAGATTGCTTAAAGTTGAGATTTTACTCCGTTGCAAGTTTTTCCAGCTTACATGCATTCATCATATGCTTAAAACCCTCGCCCTTGCTGGTGTTTCTTAAACCCTAAATGCCCCCTTTTGCCAAATCCCGACTCTCTCTCTACCTCTACATTTCCTCTTATCCCTTGGATCGGCTTCGCTTTCAAATTAAGGTACTTTGTATTATTTTATACTTTTTGTTGTTTCAGAGATTATGGATTTCTTGATCTTTCTTTTTGTTTTTTTGGGTTTCTACTGCCAATGGTAGCCTGATTATAAAATGGTCAAGATTCTGTACGATTTTTTGCGTTTATCACGTTTTTTTGCATAAACGGTTATTGGTACATATACAGTGAGTATCCATTTTGTTGTTTGTGTAAAGTGATGATTGATTAAAAACAATTAAATTACGATGATTTTTGCCAAAAATGGCATGTCCTTTTGGGTACTTGCTGTCTTATGTTGTCATTCAGTGGTGGCTTTCTTCTCTTTCTGGCCTTCATTTTCATCCATAATTCTATTGTTTAAGAGCTGATACTTTGAACATTTTGTTATTATTGATTGATTTTCTATCTTTTTCTTATGGGGTTTATCCTCCTAGCTCAGTTATCATGATGTCATTTTCATCTATTTTAAACTTTGAGGCTTATTGCCTCCATGACTTCCTTGTCACCCTTGAGAAGGGTTCTTTGTTTCTCTTGTTTTTTATGTACTTATGAGGATCCAGTGCATTGCTTGCTTTAGTGACTAGTCAGTATTGATGCTGTTGCGGTGCCGCCATTGACAATAAGCCAGTGGGATATGTACTCGTAATATTGCATAAAGTCATGGAAGAGAAGTTCTTTTGTGCTGCTATATTAAACTGACCAAGGCTTCTTATATATTTGATATTGAAATTATGTTTTTCAATCGGTTGTTCTTTACGCAATGCAATTATATGTCATTTATGGCCTCTGCAAGTTTGGATAGGGTTCATGTCATAATGATTTATCCTTCCTTGGGATTCTTCTTTTATGGTAATTATGCTCTTTTCTATAGGTTTTATTTGCAACTAATAAATATGTTTTTTGTTTTTCTTGTATAGTTAAAGTACTTTTAAGTGTATTTCGAGCGGTTGGAATTCATTACTTAGGAAACTTAATGTATTTGTGCTTTAGTGAGATTTTTAAATTGTCTAATCATTCTACAATGAATTTTCTAAATTATGATCTTGACCTTTTACTATGAATCATTTCTTCAAGCCAATCCATATCTTATTTCATAACCTTTCAAGCAAAAGCAACTATAGTTGTTTGGTCAGCATTATAAGTATTATACTATAAACTAGATATCATTGAAGAACTCCTAGATTTAGGTAACATTAATAATAATATTTTTCTTATTCAAGTAATGTAGATATTACCCAAATAAGATGCTATACAGATTATCTCAATCTTAATTGTTAAAGAAATGATTAGAGCTAGGGAGTCTAGTATCATGATTGGTCATCTTTGATATTATAACATTCTTTTGTCTTTGATATTGCTGTGGAATAACATTGCTAGTTGGATAGCCTTGCCATTTGCATACCATAAAGCAAATGGTCTATATAAAAATCTTTTGTGAACTTTTATACGTTCTTTTGCTTGTTACATATATGTTTTTGTGCTTGAGATTGTGTTTCTACAATATGAACTATGTGATAATTTTTCTTATGTCCTATTTTCTATGAATTAAATGTTGATGATTCACATTCACCTAGAGTTTCTAGTGTCTTCTTCCCGAAACATTGCAAGTATCACATAGTTTCTAATAGCTCATATGCAAGTCATTGGCCTAGATCCCCCCCACTTGTGTGCCGAACAATGTTGGCATGCTCACGTGCATCATTGCCTCACAACAATTGTATCCCCTTGGCATCACATACATGTTTTGGGTAGAGGGGAGATTGTCCCCTCTCCAATCTGCAAGTGCTCCCATTGTGGGTGATGACACCTTTTACAATATTGATTAACCATCTCATTCTATTGTGTTAAAAAAATAGTAGAGTGCAGCCAGACTTCGATCAAGACCTCTTCTAGTTCATCAAATAGTATTGCACTTAAAGGAGATCAACATAGAGATCTTTGTTGGGCTTATTATAGCCAAGGCATATTTTCACCCTCACTTGCTTTTCCTTGCTTCTCTATCAATTTCCTCTAAGAAGGTAAAGTAGTCCCACAATTAAAATCAAGGTTGATTTTAACAATAATGTTATGGGTTGATGCAAAAAATGTCACTTTTGAGACAGAGATATATGGCATTTTGAGAAGCTCATACTTTTTGTAAATGAGTTTTTATTTCCATTTCTATCTGTAATTGCTTGCCCTAGTCGATGCTAGGAGAAGCTGTGAGGAGTAATCGTGTTATAAGTTGAGATGAGGTGATGGGATGTAGGATAAGTTGAGACTAGATGATGGATCACGGGAGAAGGGAGTTATATCGTGATGAATAGCTCTACCTATGCACACTAGAAGTGGAGATGATGGGTTGATCGAAGTCAATCCTTTTCTGCATAACTCTAAAAATGATTAGATTGTTAATTGCAAATAAAATGAATAACTCAAAAATAAAATATAAATTTTATAAAATTGGATGACTGCTCTACCATCCCTTTCTACAAAACTCTAATAATGATTTTTTGGCCATTTTGTATCCCAATGTAGCATATCAGCTGGATATGGTTTAGCATGCATCCTTTGGGATAATGTTGGACTGATAGACTCTTAAGATATTTTCATTACATAAAATCACTAAATCTTTCGACAAAACTCGAAAAATGAAGTTTAGTTTATCTATGATTTGATAGAGTAGGACAAGCTGTGGAAGTCTAATAGTAGTAAGATACAATATTCCAACATAGATTGTGTACTCCGGGCACTGACATTAGGCTAATCCACAATGCCTATTGTTCATCTTATGAACCTAATGTGTTTGCATGTAGAGTTTAAGTTGATTTAAAAAATGCATTCTTACATGAATGCCTTCATATGCATGCTTGGCCTTTCTTTTTGTAATGCAGGATCGTATTGTAAGAGCCTTTTCCTTCATCTTTCAGCCTATCCCTCTTGCATTACATAAAGAGATGAATGATGAGTGTTTAAAATTTGCATTGGTGGAGTTTAATAGCTTTAACTCATCCACAAGACGCAATATCAATTGTCGAGCTTCCTAACTTTTTGCAAGGTTAGGTTGTAAGTCCCATTGTAGTCCTCTTCCCAACGAGTGTAAGTTACAATCCTGCACATGCCATCATTGCATTAGATTTAGGATTGGGCAACACCTCGCGTATTATAAGCCTTGGCTTAAGCGACTTTCTCTGGTTGTTGAAGTGACATATGCCCCACTTTTGTGAGGCATATGGCGGTTGTATTCTTTGCATCATATTGAGATTTCTTATCATTTTATATTTCAATTTGGCATGTACAAAGCTAAATTTTAGCAATTAGATATAGTCGAATAAGGAACCTCCAACTATACTTCTAAATACAAGTATTTATAGCTACACTGCCTGCATAGATTATGCAAAGTAATTATACGAGTATTATAACAAAAATATATAAATCCATAAGTTATTATATATAATTTTGGCATGATATGTTCTATCATATCTCCAAAATGATGTTGGATGTTCAAGAAACATCAATTTTCCCACAAGGAATTAATGATTTTGTCTTGTTATTGCCTTCATAAATGTGTCGATAATATGAAGGTTAGTAAAGATATGATGAAGAGAAATAATATGAGTTAAGTTTTTCAAATCAAATTACAATCCACTTCAATAAGCATTGTGTGCTCATGATAAATAGTATTACCAATAATTTTAATAATATTAGTATTTTCTGCATTGAAAGGAGCGAAGTTATTTTGAAAATGAGGTTTAGATAGAAGTTGACAAAGCTACATAATCTAAAAGAGTTGGCAAATATTGTGTAGTATTCAAACACAACAAAGGATTGCTTCTTACTCTTTCATGAAATCAAAGAATAACGAAGAAACATGTTCCAACATGTGATAGATTGTTCGGTATTAAGATATCTGGTCTAATCAACTTACACTAGATGAAGAGAAGAATTGCTTGGATAGAACAATCCATTGTTAGGTGTCTACAAAGGTATTGAATTATTTGATCAATGACAACTTAATATAAATGATGAGAAGTTTGCTTAAATCGGCTAACCTATTGAAAAATGAAGAAAATATTAAGTCAACTAATGACCAAATAGTTCAGGCGGCCTAAACTATTGAAGTAGGATCAGGAGAAGATCACCTTCCTTGATTCGATTCTTTATATTTACTCATAATCTATGATGGGTCAATACAGATATGAGGAAATTAACACGAGATACATATATTATTAAAAATGTAGGACATTGGCACGCATTGAATATGACATTATGATGTTATATCTTTAAAAATAAAAATAATGTATAATAATCATATAAATTAAAAAAATAGAAAAGAATTCATATATTAATAGATTTATTCTAATTGCTCATAAAATAAGAAATAATTAAATTTTTTTAAGTACCTTAATTTCAATTGAAGAAGAAATAACAATATGATATTATAGATTGTTCACTTAAAACAGAGAAACTTGGTTCTAAAAAAAAACGTTATAAAAAAAAATCATTAAAAAGATAGCATAATAGGAAAAATAAAATTAGTGTTAAGTAGCTATTAAATTATTTAAGTTATTAATTTTAAAGTAAAAAAGAATGGGTGGCTTATCTGAAGTTGTGTAATTAAATTTTTTATTCAAGATATTTGTGTCAGACATGTATACAACAACAACATCAAGCCTTTATCCCACTACGTGTGGTCGGCAA